GCAGCGACCGGCACTGCCCCGGGCCCCCCGGGAGCCGCGGATCCAGATGTGGAATGGGGGGTTGAGACCGTCTCCAGCTCCACAGGGAGCCGCGGATCCAGATGTGGGGGCAGGGGAGGGGGTGGACACTGCCCCCGGCCCCCCAGGGAGCCGCGGATCCAGATGTGGAATGCGGGGTGGACACTGCCCGAGCTCCGCCCGGAGCTGCAGATCCAGATGTGGAGGCGAGGAGGGAGGGGTGGACACTGTCGCGGATCCAGATGTGGAGAGACAGAGCCTTTGTCCTGGGCTCTGCCTGGAGCTGAAGGTCCTCATTGGAAGGGGGCCCTGCCCTGGGGTCCCATCAGAGTCTCCAGCCCCAGAAGTGGATGGGGGGGGGGGGGTTTCCTTGGGCTCCGGGCCCCGCCGACCCCTGGTTCCTGCTTCGTCTTCCCCTTCCTCCATTCCCAACTCTTCCACACTCCAGGACCCCCAAATCCTCCTCACTCGCTCTGTGAAATGCTGGGACCCCCATACCAGCACACCCCCCACCCCATTCCAGCAGCTCTTGTGCTCTTGCTCCTGTGCAATCCCAACAACTGTGCTGGGATCCCGCCGTTCCCACCTCCCGTGGGGTCACTCGGGCCAAATCACTCACAAACTTGGCCACGATCATGCCAACACCCTCCCAGCTCCCCCCAGCCGCTGATTCCAACCCACAACAACCCCCCAGCAGCGTCAGGGAAACACCAGACGAGAGATCCAGGGGGAGAGGGAAACTCGAGGCCGCCGTGGAGGGCACCCTCATCCCTGAGGGTCCGGCAAGAAACGAGTCCTGCAGTGCCAGACATTCCACAAACCACACCGGAGACGGGGAAAAGGGAAAAGCCCAGCCCACGGAGGAATAAACAGCCTGTCTGGAGCATCCTTTGGAGAGGGCTCCAGCCCTCCTTTGGGCTTTGTTTCCATCCCTGAGTCACGTGTGATCCCGCTGTGAGGGATTTACATGAAAGGCGCCGCGTGAAAGGCGCTGGAGAGAGCAGGCGAATGAGGGAGACAGAGCCCCAGGGAAGAGCTGCAGGGAGGGGGAAACCACGGAAATGGACCGATTGGGGCTGATTTCAGCGGCCGGTCACTGGATCCCTCCTGAGATCTGTGCTGGGAACAGGGAGTCAGTCTCCTGGAGCCTCTTTAGGCCCTGGAAGGGGCTCTTAAGTTCTCCCTGGAGCCTTCTCTTCTCCAGACTGAACACCTCCAGCTCTCCCAGCATGACTCCAGAGCAGAGGGGCTCCAGCCCTCGGAGCATCTCCGTGGTCTCCTCTGGACTCGCTCCAGCCCCTCCCCGGGCCGGGCTGACCCCGGTTCCGCGGGCACACTCAGTCAGCGCTCCGGGCAGCCCGGAGGTGTGTGCACTGCCCTGCCCGAACACGCACCCGCCGCGGGGATGCCACGGGAACAGCCCCATCCCTCGGGATTCACTGCCTTGGCACCACCGGCACCCACCTGGGCGGGCAGGTGTGTGCAGGGAAAACCCTCCAGGGTCACCCACAGCCCATCCACAGGGAATCGTGCCCCCCTGGCAGGTCCAGCCAGGGGCACAAGAGTGCAGAAAGGAACCCAAATCCCTTCAATCTGACATCACGGGGCTGTCCTGCAGATACAGAGTCTCTGTTGATCCCATTATCCTGTGGATATAGAGGCTCTATTGATCCCAGTATTCTGTGGATCTAGAGGCTGTATTGATCCCAATATTCTGCAGATCTAGAGGCTGTATTGATCCCAATATTCTGTTGATATAGAGGCTGTATTGATCCCAATATTCTGTTGATATAGAGGTATATCCACATGTAGATGGGATATAGATCCCAAAGGTGAGCACATACTGGTGTGAGGCAGTGAGTACCCACAGCTGTGGAGGGGAGGGGTCTGGGGGTGCTGGAGGTGGCCAAGCCCTGGGTGACGACCCAAAGCCTCCTGGGTCTGTCCTGGGATCTGGAAACCACCCATGTGACAGAGGTAGGGTGGCCAACGTGCCAGTGTGTTCGTTCCCAGCTCCTGGCACACTGATTTCAGGGCAGCCATTCCATCTGTGCCCCAGTTTCCCCATGCCCTAGACAGCAGCACAGTGTGGGGTGACCCTGTGGCCACCAGATGTGAGGGTCACCACAGCCACACCACGGCCAGAGCGGAGCCGGGACAGCCCCGGGACAGCTGGGGAAGGGCAGCTGGCCAGGGGAAGGGAAGGCTTCCCATCCCAAACCACAAGCCAGCACAGGGAAGTGCCCAAGACCTGCCTGGGCTGCCCTGGCACTGCTCAGGGTCCCAGCTCGGCAGTTGGAAGAGCCAAGCTGTGCCAGAGCTTGTTTTGCAATCCCAGCTCAGGTGGGGAAGCAGGAGGAGCGTGGCCCTGGCTGCCCAGGCACGTCCAGCCTCCTGCAGCAGCTCGTGCCTCCAGAGCCCACGGAGCCAAGGCTGGTGGGGCAGCTTCTGCCCCAGAGCAGTGAGCACTTCCTGGAGCTGGAGAAGCCTCATTTTCCCCGGGGGAGGGAGGAAGAGATAAGAAGATGGATAAGGGGAATTTTGGGTTATTTACTTGGTGTTCTGTGGCTTGTAAGAGTCCTCGAGTCCTGCCTCCTCCTCCGCCTCCACCTCCCGCTTGGCGTTGGAACTCCATGAAAGGGGCTGGAGTGCTTCCAGAAGCACTGGGATGGGCTTCTGCAAAGGATCACGGGAGGACAAGATGAGATTTAGCATGTCCAATCCACAAAAAACAGAACTTTGCCTGAACTCAGATCCACCCAGCCTCCCACCACCCCCTCCATCCTACACAGGAGACACAGCCAGGTTTGCATCCTGGTGGTGCCTCCTGTCCCACTGCCAGCTCTGGGACTGGGGCACCTCAGGGGCCTTCTCTGAGCCCCCCTGGTGCTGGAGGAGCCAAGCTGAAGGTGGCTGTCCCATGTCCATGCCCCACTGGGATCCCCCATTGCCCCCTCTGTCCGTCCCAGTTTGACATCCCGGTTTGTTCCCATCCCAGCTGAAATCCCAGGCTCCGGGGAGTTCAGAAGAGCTGCGGTGTCTGCAGATGCTCAACCAGCAGCCCGAGGGCTCCAGCCTGGAGGAGCTGAGCAGCAGCCAGACCTGCCTCAAGCTGGCCAGCACCATCAAAGCCTACGTGGCCACGGTGAGCCTGGGGACCAGGGGAGGATGGGAGACCCCCCGGCTACCTCCCTGCAGGGGTAGGAGGGGGGGAATGGCAAGGATGGTTTAAGGAGGGGGCTGGACCCAGGCCCTCCACAGCAAGGAGATGGTGGGGCACAGAGACAGTGTGACAAACAGGGTGACGGGGGCTTGGAGGAGGAGCTGGGGTGTGGGAAACCCCTGTTTCACCTTTAACCGTGGGACCTTCTCCTCTCTGTGGCCCAGGTGACAGAGAACATCCTCCGCAGGAGCGCGGTGAAGGGTGAGTCCCTCTCCCAGCTCCGGGGGAGCGGCCGGAGCTGGGATCCACGTGCACACACCGGGATGTCAGCAGCGGGAGGGGCTGGTGGGCTCCAGCCCTGACTCTGGTGCTGTGAGCTGGGCGGGAGAGGGGAGAACCTTCCCACTGGGGGTGAAGGGCACAAGTCCCAGGAATGGGCTGGAGGGACAGCCATGTCCACCTGTCTGGAGTCCAGGGAACCAGGGCCATGGGATAGCTCAGACACGTTAGATAATGATTGACAAGACCCCAAATAACCTTCCTCTCTGATGGGTCAGTGGGGCATTTCCCTGCCCTGCTGGCACAGGGCTGGGTGTCCCCACACTTGGTCCTCTACAGCTGACTGTCCCTGTCCTGCAGAGGCCCGGAGGAGCTACTTCAACACCTCAGAGGGGCAGGTTCCTCCCAAAACAGCTGGGAAGCCCTCGGCACATCTCACCCTCCGCCCTCAGAGCCTGACCCAGGATGGTGAGTCGGGGCGTCCCACTGGGCACCAGTGGGTTTCCAAGATGGGAACAGGGGAGAGGACTCCCCCAAAGGGCGGGTGACCAGGACAAGGAGGTTGGGGAGCCCCACTGGGCACCAGGTGGTGTCCGAGACGGGAACAGGGGAGAGACCTCTCCCAAAGGGCAAAGGACCAGCATGGGAGGAGACTTTGGGTGGCAGATGGGGACCAGTCCAAGGCCACCTTCCCCATCCCTCCGGAGTGGGAGAGAGTTAGAGCCACCCCCTGGCTCAGCCCCCCATGAGCCCGGTGTGGGGGGCTGGGTGACAGTGGGGCTCGGACAGACCCCACAGGGGTCTGGGTGGGCTGGAGGTGGCAGGGGGGTGGCCGGTGCCCAGGTGGGTCCCGCCAAGCGCTCGGCTTGAGTCTCCTTGGGAGAGGTGTTCCCGGCCCGTGCCGGGGGCCGGTGGGCACGGGGAGGCCCGGGAGGGGTGGCTGCGGTGCCCAGCTCCACACTGCCCACGCCTAGATGGACACCTCATACTCCCTCGTGTCCTGCAAAGAAAACAGACTGCAAGGGGTTGGACACTCGGCAGCGTGACGGGGTGCCTTGGGCGGGGACAGGGCATCTCCCACCCCGTAGGGACCTGGGGGCACATCCCAGACCACAGATGGCCCTGGGGATGCAGGTACCATCCCATGTGTGGTCCCTGGACAGATACTCAGTCCCGTGTGTAGTTCCTGGATGGATGTCCAATCTAATGCATAGTGCCTGGGATGAATGTTCCAGCTGATCCCTTGATGGATATCCCAGCTGGATATCCCAGACTGATGTGTGGTGCCTAGATGGACGTCCCATCCTGTGAACAGCCCCTGGATAGGCATTCCATCCCACGTGTTGTCCCTGTGCACGGTCCCTGGATGGACATCCCAGCTGATGTGTGGTCTCTGGATGCATGTCCCACCCCATGTGTGGTTCCTAGATTAATGTCCATCCTGTGAATGGTCCTGGGATGGTTGTCCCATCCTATGTGTGGTCCCCGGATGGATGTCCTATCTAATACACTGTCCCTGGAACACAAGACCCCATCCCACACCTGCCCCAGCCCATGCACAGCTCCTGACCCAGGTGCCTGTGAGATGTAGGGTCTCTGGGGTGCCCAGCCCCAGTCAAGGGGTGTGGGGGCCAGTACTTACTCCTGTCTCATAGGTGGGATTGTCGAAAGCTGACTCCACGGTGATATGGTCGTAGGGGTGGGAGCCAGCAAGGGGCAGCTGCAGGGCCGGCTTCCCCTGGAGCCTGTGGGGAGAGAGGGCAGCTGGGGCAGGCAGCAGGGGGGCCACGAGTACCCCACGGGGCGACAGGGGCCAGTGGGCCACTCACTTGGAGAAGTAGAGATAAATGCCCCCGATGAGCAGGGCCACCACCAGCACGGGCAGGAAGACAGCGATGGCAACGTTGGTGCCCTCCAGTGCTGTCCCCGAGGGCACGGCCTTGGCTACAGCTGTGTGGGAAAGTTGGGGGCTCACTGAGGGGACACCCCACAACGGCCGCACCCCAGGTGCCCCTCTACACACCGGCACCCCAACGCCCCCTTGCCCTTACCATCCAGGTTGCGGTTGCTGTAAAACTCATCATAAGAGGCTGCAGAGGGTGAAAGAAAGAAAGAAAGAAAGGGTGGAGTGAGAAGCGGGATGCCAAGCAATACCAGTGGGGTGCTGGGGTGTGTGTGGGGGTCCTCTCACCCGCCTTGCAGATGGGAGGGGGGCCGCTCCAGCGCGAGGGGTGCCCGGGCAGGCAGCGCAGGCTGCCCTCGCCCAGTAGCGCCCGGCCGGCGGTGCAGGAGAAGTGTAAGGTGGCTCCTGCCGGGTACAGCCGCCGCTCCGGGTTCTGCCTCCCGCCCGCCGGCACACCGGGGTTGTGGCAGGGCTCGTATGTCTCTGCTGCAGGGCAGTGGTATGGTGGCATCAGCGCTCGCCATCAGCTTGGGTGACATGCCCAGGGAGGGGGTACCCAACTCACGGATGCACTTGGGGAGACGGTCGCTCCACTTGGGCCCCCCTGCAGCACGGTCATGGCAGGTGAGAGTCCCAGCACCCGCCAGGACATAGCCTTTGTCACAGACATACTGCACGGTGGCTCCCACAGGGAATTTAGGGTTGGAGACCACCCTGCGGCTGTGCTCGGCATCCCCGGGGTCCCGGCAGGTTGTNAGGAGACTTTGGGTGGCAGATGGGGACCAGTCCAAGGCCACCTTCCCCATCCCTCCGGAGTGGGAGAGAGTTAGAGCCACCCCCTCCCCTTCACCTGAACCTGCCAGGCCGCTCCCCTCAGTGACCCTCCCTTTCCCCAGGAGCCTCGGAGCGCTTCGGGAACCTGTCTCAGTCGTGCCGCCACGCCATCACCCGCTGGGAGCACAGCACCCTGCACTCCCACCTGCAGAACATCACCTACCGCGACGGGCGGCTCCGGGTCCAGCAGCCGGGCAAGTACTACGTGTACTCCCAGATCTATTTCCGCTACCGCAGCGCCGGCGCCCAGGAGTCGGGCCCGCAGCTCGTGCAGTGCATCCAGTGGCAGCCACCCCACAGCCAGCCCATCCTGCTGCTCAAGGGCGTGGGCACCAAGTGCTGGGCACCCGAGGCGGACTACGGGCTGCACGCGCTCTACCAGGGCGGACTGTTCGAGCTCAAGGCCGGCGACGAGCTCTTCATCTCCGTGTCCTCCTTGGCCATCGACTACAACGACGCAGCTGCCAGTTACTTCGGGGCCTTCCGGCTCGACCTCTGACACCCCCTCTGCTCCCACCTGCCCGCTGATGCTCCCACGTGGCCCCAGGACAGCGGCCCAATGGATAGGGGGTGGCACAGGGTCCTTCCCGGTGTGTCTTGTCCTTTGCGGTGAGGGACAAACCAAAGAGGGCACGAGGCGTGGCTGCCCGCAGGGACCTGCTCTGCTTGGGGCCACCATCCAGGTGGGAGGAAGCCTGAGACCCTGGAAGGATCCCCAAGGACCTACAGAGGACATGCACGATGGGAGACATCCCAGCCCTGGTGGCACATCAGCTCCCAGTGGCTCCCTGCAGCAGGAAGGGCACCAGGGCCACACCCGCCATGGCAAGACACAGTGTCCCCGTGATGGGGTGACCCTCCACGAGTCTGACCCCACCTCGGGCAGGGACAGCCCCAGCTGGGCTGTGGGTGCCAAGGACCCTGGGCTGGAGGTGCTGGGGCAGCAGCCAAGGTGAGCAGGGAGCAGCAGCACAGGGGGCACAGGGCTGGCACCCCCAGGCCACTGCCTGCAGGGATGGGGCAGATCCAGCGTCAGCCTCTGGAAAGGAGCAAAGGAGTTTCGGTTTGGGCAGATCAGAAACCTGGGGCCACGCCAGTGATGGGCTCCAGGGAGGGCAAAGAGCAGGACGGCCACGTCGGAGCAGTCGCCAGCCCCGGCACCACACCCGGCACGTGGCACTGGGGAGTGTGGTGCCCCAGCCAGGCTGCACAGGACCAGGAGCTCTCCATCACTGCTGCCCAAGCACCTCTTCCCTTGGGGATTTTGTCCCCCCCAGCCCTGAGGGACCAGCGCAGCCCCCGCTTCCTCACCCCTGGCAGTCCTTCATCTGCAGGATTCCAGCACCGGGTGAGCCCAGAGGTCATGGCAGGACCTTGGAGGGACCAAACCCACCCCAGGTGATGGAGGCCACCTCAGAGGCCAAAGAGGGGTTCAGGCAGGGCCCAGCCCAAGGCCCAGCCAGACCCCGGGGTGCCACAGTGAGTCCCCACCACGCCGTGGCTGGGCAGGGGCTGCTCCTGGCTCCTGCCATTGCTCCCACAGCTTTCCAGGCCTGACCCCCCGCCCTCTGCATCCTTGGCTGGGCCTGGGGGGCTGAGCCAGGTGGTTCCCACATCCCTCCACACCCCCAGGTGCTGGGCATTCCCACTCACCAGCCCCCATCTCCTGCAGGCTCCTGCTCCAGGGGGGCTGACACAACCCTCCCAGGGGCACGGTGCCACCCTGGCACCCAGAGCCTCCAAAAACTCATCCAAAGCCAGAGAGCGCAGAGAGCATCCTCCTGCTGCCTCCAAGAGGGTCACAGGGCTGATCCCCCCATGGCAGGGCTGCAGGGTCCCATATCCCCAGTCACCATGGGGGGAGGGAGGAACAGAGGGGTGGAGGGATAGAGGGAGCTGAGCTGAGCCTCAGCTCTGCAGCACTTGGCCCTGGGGCACGTTGGGCTCTTGCCCAAAGCAAACAAAACCCAAAAGCGCATTCCAAACCCTTCCATTCCAAAACCACGTTGAAAATGATCCCTTTCCCTCCACCTCTCGTCCCACCTCCTCCTGTCCCAGCCACCTTGGTGACCCACAACAGGAATGGGACTTCCAGGGCTCTTGACATCCCCACCAGTCCCAAACTCCCCCCTTGGTGAGCACTGAGTTCATCCCGGCTCCGCATCCTGGCTCCTCTGGCAGCAGCCACGGGAGCTCAGGGCTGAACCAGCCAAGCCAGGGCTGCAGGAAATGCAGCAGGTGGTTCCAAGATTTCCTTTGAAAGGGGGTTTAAAGTGGCCATGGCCCGATGGAGCCGGCAGGAGGTTGTGTTTGCCGGGAAGGAAGCAGGGAAAGCAGCCCCGTGTGCGTGAGCGGGGAGAGCCGGGCCCGGCGCCAGCGGGCCATGGGCCACTCCACTTTCCTGGAAAGGAGAGGGCTCGTGGGTGGATGGATCAGGGAAGGAGAACTCCACCAGCGTCAGGGCAAAGAGCAGCCTCGCCCCGTCTGGGGAGAGATGAGTGGTGCAAAGAGAGACGGGATGGAATTCCTCTCTGTGAGGGCGGTGAGGCAGTGGCACGGGGTGCCCAGAGCAGACTCAGCCCCCCCTCTGCCCCTTCCCTGCCCTGGTGCTTCCAGCAGATGGGCTCAGCCTGGCCAGGGACATGCAGCTTGGCTGGCTGTTCCCACCTGGACAACACCTGGATTGGGTGGCAGCAGAAAAACCCAGCCTCCACCAAAACCTCCCTGCACCAACACTGCCTGCCCCAGGACATGCTCCAGGGGAGAGAGAAGAACAAAGTGTGGAGAGACCTGGGTGAGGATGCAACACTTCTCTCCAACTGAGGAAGCAAATAAACCAAAATATGGAAGACTTCTCATAGAGATTTTTTTTTTTATTCTTAAAGTTGTTTATTAAAAAAGACATCTCACTATTTTAACTTGAGTATTCCTGACAAGTTCACTGTAGCTCCTATTGGAGAGTCAATGGTCACTAAATCACTTTTGCATCAAAGGATTGAGCTGATCCTGCTACATACTTCTCAAAATCTGTTTTCTTTAGGCTTTTTTTTTTAAAGACAAGCAAGAGTAGAAACACCACCAATTCTTGAAGTCTTGGAAGGAGGGGTGTGGTGGAGCCACAACAGACATTTGCTTTCAACAGATTCATTACTAAATAATGTTACAACAGTCCCCCTATCTGGGGAAACTCTTTATTTCTGGCATCACCAATTCACTTCATTTGCATCTAACTCAGTCTGGGGAACAATGCAGTTACGTCAAATACTTCAACAAACATAGTGCCCAAAGTTTCACCTGGTACTGCACTGCTGGACATGCTCAGCAGCAGCAGAGGCTGTGGCCTTCCCTCTGGATCCCGGCCAGATCCCTCCCTCCAGCTGAGGGCAGAGCTGGGTGAGGCCAGGGCAGGTGGGGACGTGCTGTGGGAACACAACACTTGCCCTGGGGGAACAGGAGCCTCAGTGCAGGGACCAAACCTCTCCCACAGTGAGGAGCAGTTTGGCTTTCCAGTGCCAAAGACAGGGCAGATCATCCCACACAATCCAGGGCTGCTTTCCCAGTGCCTCCTGTGCCAGCACATCCCTCCAGCTCAGAGCAGTGCAGATGAAATAATGAAATTCCCCCAAAGAGAGAGCTCCAGCTCCCCAGGCAGCACATCCTTGTGGTGACAGCTCCAAGAGCTCCCAACCCTTCCTCGATAGCCTTGGGCCAAAGGAGGGCAGGGTTAGATGGGATATTAGGAAGGAATTCTTCCCCAGGAGGGTGGTGAGGCCCTGGCACAGGTTGCCCAGAGAAGCTGTGGCTGCCCCTGGATCCCTGGAAGTGTCCAAGGCCAGGTTGGACGGGGCTTGGAGCAACCTGGGCTGGTGGAAGGTGTCCCTGCCCATGGCAGGGGGTGGCTGATCTTTAAGGTCCCTCCCAACCTAAACCATTCCATGAGTTTATGATCCCCTCCTGCTCTAAACCAGACGGGTGGGGTGGGGTCACTGCTGCACTAATAACAATTCCACATTGACCTGATTTCTCCTGGCCTCTCCACGTGGATTCAATCCAGGCAGAAACTGCTTCCTGCAGCCACCGACAAAGGACCCTCTTATCTCCCCTGCAGAGGAGCTGCTTTTACCTCAGTGCAGAGGAGCCCAGCCCAGGGCGTTCACGGCCCCGACCCTTTGTCTCTAAATAAATCCTGCGTTCAAAGGCTCTTTTTTTTCCCCGTTTGTTGTTACGAGCCAGCCTCATCACTACCTCCAAGTCTCCATCTCCTCCCAGACAAGATCTTGTTTTACTTTCAAGTCCCCAGCCCGGGCCGAGTTTGTGGCGGGAGGAGGAAATCCACTCCAAAAAAACACGTCACCGCCCCAGGAAATCATTCCTTGGGACATTGTAAATAAAGCACACAAAGAAAGGCAGCGGGGTGTGACCCCACCATCGCTGCTGGCACCCCACGCTCTGCCCCAGGGTACGCAGGGCACCTCACCAGCCACCGCTCCCCCCCGGGCAGTAATTCAGCCTGGAAAAAGGGAGACAAAACCAGAAACCCTTTTTGCTACAGCACGAAGGATTCATGGAGCTGCAGGAGGCGGGATGCTCGATAAACCCTTGGGAAAACATTCCTGCTGGGGCACCGTGACCAAGCAGAGGGGACCCAGCGCTGCCGCAGGCAGGAGCCCGGAGTTCATCCATCACGGAATCACAGATGGTTTGGGCTGGAAGGACCTTTAAAGGCCATTTAGTCCGATCCCATCTCAGCTGTGCTGCTCCCAGCCCCTTCCCTGGGGTCCCACTGATGAATTTAGGGGGATTTCTTTACTCCGCAGGGGGTTTCTCTCCTTTGCCACTGCCAGTTGCCTTTCCCCTCTGGCTCGCAGCAGCAGCCCCTGATTGCAGCGGCTGTTCCTCCCCATTCCTCCCCATTCCCTCGCAGACACATCCCCGCTGGCAGCGGCCCCGGCCCCGCCCCGGCTCTGCCCTTGGGAATGACGGAGCTGTACACAAGGAAAGTGCTGAGCCAGCTCGATCCAGGCTCACGGGCCTCGTGCACCACAGACACGCAGTTTTCCCCTTTATTATTTCCCCGACGAGAGGAGCTGGAGGCACCAGGAAAAGATAATTCCACTTTTAAAGGAAATTCTCCGTTTTCTGTCCCGTTCAAACCCCAGCTCTAGGATGGAGTCCTGGAATCACAGACTGGTTTGAGTTGGGACCTTAAAGACCAGCTCCTCCCAAGCCCCTGCCACAGGCAGGGAGGCTCAAAGTCACCTCCTCCCACTCCCATCCTGCATCCAACAGCTGAGCACAGCCAGCCCTCAAACCCAGGAGACTCCCAAATATCATCTGTCATAAAAAGGATATGGTAACCCCCTCCAGGTCCCTTCCTCCTGGGTTACTCATCTCCAGCTCTGACCTGCATCCACAGCTGTCTGCTGAAGGGAATCCCAGGGCTCCTCCTGGAGTAAAGAGCAAGAACTGGACAGGGCAAAACACTTCTCAGGAGCTGGAAGTGCCCCAGGGAAGGGGTTTCTCAGTTTCTCTGCTGCACAGAGGTTTTGATGAATCCCAGACTGGTTTGGGCTGCAAGGACCTTGAAGCTCATCTCGTTCCACCCCCTGCCATGGGCAGGGACACCTTCCACTAGCCCAGGTTGCTCCAAGCCCCGTCCAACCTGGCCTTGGACACTTCCAGGGATGGGGCAGCCACAGCTTCTCTGGGCAACCTGTGCCAGGGCCTCCCCACCCTCACAGGGAAGGATTTCCAAACTAACCCTGCCCTCTGTCAGAGTGGAGCCAGAGAGGGATTGTTTTTGTAGAAATTAAAGGAATTCAATGAAAGCAGATGGGGAACAGCCAAGAGCTGGTACAGCCCACAGCTCACTAGGGAAGGGAAGCACCAATCCCAGTATGGAGTGATACATCCATCCATCCCTGCAACCTCCCCACATGTGCCTCATGTCCTGCATCCCTGCTGGAGCCAACACAGCAACAAGGATCAGGTAATTTTGCTGCAGGTTTCCCTACAAAGAGAACTACAGCTCAGAAATAGGCCTGGAGCTGGAATGAGGATTTTCTTGGCACGGACACCATTTCTGTGGAATAACAGGGTGGGCAGGCTTTGCAGACAGGCAGAGCAGCTCCAAAGCCCAGCTCCAAGCTCCCACTTCCACCTTGCCCACATGTTCCAGACCTCCAGCCACTAAAGCAGGAAAATTATTAGTTTCCACATGCAAATGCAAAGGATCTGCCCAGCAGGAGGCATGGAAAGGCCCTGGACTGTTGGAATGTTCCCATTCTACTCTCCCATTGGCACTACATTTACTTTGGCAACATAAGGACTCAAAATCCCTCCCACACCAAGGACAGAGCCTCCCTAAAGCCCAGCCCTACTGGGCTTTCCCTGCCTTTCCCAAACTCTCACCCTCCCAGGCAGGAGTTTCTCCAGGACACCTCTCCCACTAAAAAAACAATCCCGGGGACAGACAAACCGAAGGCTGAAGAGCTGCTGGGCAGGTGTTTCCTGCCCCAAGCCCGCGTTCCCAGATGGCAGAGCAGCTGCTGTCCCCTCCAACATTGTGCTCCCTGCCCTCTGCTTCCCCAGGAGCAGCTGGGATGACCCACCAGCCAGCTGGGATGTTCCATCTGGGATGACTCTCCAGCCAGCTGGATGCTTCAGACTGCACACAGATTTCCCTTCTGGCACCCTCCTGCCCTTACCTTTGCACTGGGCTGCTGCAGCCTCCCCACTGGGAGAGGAATCTGCTCATGGATCGTGGATCTAATTGAAGCAGGGACTGTATTTTTCAAGCTGGAGCCCTCCTACATATGATA